TCTCCATTTTCTGTTTTTGTGTAAATTGTCTTTTAATTTAATATAAGTGTTTCTTCTTTTCGTTCCATTCGTTATCTCTAAGCTGAATCTCGGGTCTATGGGATTTCAGATAGGAATAATTATGTTTCAAATATCAGCCATGGGCTGAACTATCAATGGAACGGATAAACTGCAAAACTCTTAAAGAACTATTTTCAAAACTCTTGGCTGAAGCTTTTTGTATTTCTTTGGCTAAGTAAGCTATATTCATTGTGTATCAATGGAAATTGAACACATACTGAGAAAGGAACTTCCATAAGGAAGAGATTTCAGACAGCTTAGCCATTGGGGGAAGGTGGTGTCATGGCAAAAACATTACTGGTCACCTTAGGAATAAGGGGCCAACTCGTCCATTTTAAGGTTCTGTACTAAGTACCTGTTGGAGTCAAGGGAGCCATAGGAATATGGAAACTTGTGAGCCATCTAGTCCATGAGCTGAGGAATCAGAGTTGGCAGATAAGAAACTGGGACAAAGCCAAAAAGTGCTAGGTCTTGAGTAGAGAAAGTAGCTATTTAAGAATGGAGCAGTGAATCCGTTCCTTCTGTTAAACTATTTTAAAACCATCCACTTGTTGTCTCTTAATTATAGTTATTTCTGTTTAAATATTTATACTTTATTTTAAGCTGTTATCTATCAAACTCCAATGAATATTATCTCACCTTCTTCTAACCAGGAAGGATCACATACATAACGCAGCTAGCAATTGTTTGTCATCAGATTGAACTTACTGTTCCTGAGGAACGTTGTCAAGACAGTAAGGAACGTTTGACCAGACAGTTCATTCACTAACTTTTCTTTTCATTTTCATTCTTTATAAAATAGTATAAGACAATATCTAGAATTCTATCCTCGTGGGAACGATAATCTGGGCCTTAATACCCCCTTTATTACTTGATGCATGCACTTGGGTTGGAAGTAAGGGAGCGAATCTGTGTTCTGTTTAGAACAGAGGAACGTCCCCCATTAGAACTATTCTTTTTCCACCATCAGCAAACCACCTAACAGTGAGAACCGTCCCAGTCCAACTCATGATGGGGGTGAGAACCATCCCGTCACTTGGACATTGGCTGGGGGTGAGAACCGTCCCAGTCTAACTCATGGCGGGGGTGAGAACCATCCCGTTACTTGGACGTTGGCTGGGGGTGAGAACCGTCCCAGTCCAACACATGGCGGTGTGAGAACCATCCCGTTACTTGGTCATTGGCTGGAGGTGAGAATCGTCCCAGTCCAACTCATGGCGGGGGTGAGAACCCTCCCGTTACTTGGACGTTGGCTGGGGGTGAGGACCGTCCCAATCCAACTCATGGCGGGGGTGAGAACCATCCCGTTACTTGGACGTTTGACTTGTATTAAGAGATGTGAAAAATTGACAATCATGTTTATTGAAAGAAAAGGGGGATCCTGCCTCGTTAAAAACCTTTCCCAGTAAAACCCATTGGGACAAAAACTGGGGAAGGAAAAGAGTGCAGGAAGTGTTACATGGTAGTTTAACTATAATACTTCTTGAGCTTGTCGGTGTTCCACGCCCTGGGGATTGCTTTCCCATCCGGTGTTTCGAGGGAGTACGCTCCTTTGCCTAGTTTATTTGCTATCCGGTAAGGTCCTTCCCAGTTTGGGGCGAGCTTTCCTTCACGGGCGTTTTTGTTTCCAACGTCTGCTCGTATAAGCACCAAATCTTTTTGTGCGAATTTTTGGGGGACAACTTTCTTATTGTAGCAACTGGCTGACCTTTCCTTGGAACGGTGGTCAGACTGAGCAACATGTTCTCTGAGCTCATCCAGTAGATCTAATGCTTCTTTAAGATTTTGATTGTCGGCGACCTCAGCAACGTGATCTCTCCGCCAAGAGTGTTCACCATATTCTACAAGAATCATGGCTTCAGTGCCGTACGTTAATCTGAAAGGCGTCTCTCTAGTGGAAGACTGGGCGGTTGTCTTGTATCCCCATAGGACGTTATCCAAATTGTCAATCCACGCCCTTTTATGTGCTTCCAATTTCTTCCTGATTCCCTTAACCAGCATTTTGTTGGCCGACTCCACTAAGCCATTGGATTGGGGATATTCTACTGTGGCAAAATGATGCCGGATCTGCAAATTTCCCATTAACTCTCGGAACTTAGCGTCGGTGAACTGGGTACCATTGTCGATGATGACCTCTCCAGGGATGCTGAAGCGGTAGACAATACTTCTCCAAAAGAACCTCCTTGCTTTCTAGGATGTAATGGTGGCTAAAGGTTCAGCCTCTACCCACTTGGTAAAGTAGTCTATGGCGACAATCAACCATTGGACCCGACCAGCCGCCATGGGAAAAGGACCTAGAATATCGATTCCTCACTTGTAGAAAAGCCATGGTGAGGTGATTGATGTCAGCTCTTCAGGCGGGGCTTTGTGTATGTCCACGAACCTCTGGCATTCTTCACATTTTTTGACGTGCTCATGGGTGTTGCGCTCCATGGTCGGCCAGTAAAAACCAGCTCTCAGTGCTTTCTTTGCTAGCTAGTGCCCGCCCATGTGGTGACCGTTGATTCCTTCGTGGATTTCTTCTAAAACATACTGAACGTCATTAGGGTTCAGACACTTCAAAAGTGGAGTTGAGAGTCCTCTCTTGTACAGTCGTCCTTGTATAATGCAGAAATAGGCACTTCTTCGTACCACTTTCCTAGCTTCCTTTTGGTTGAGAGGTAGGGCTCCTTCAGATAAGTAGTTGGCAATGGGCGTGATCTAGGTCTCTTGGGCGACTTCAGCGACCGTGTCTGAAATGTTCATGACTATGCATGGGTTAAGCAAATTATGCTGGATCACAGAGCGGTTGTTACCTGGGCTTTTGGTGCTTGCTAACTTGGCGAGGATATCTGCCCGGGTGTTTTCAGTTCGCCTGATATGCTCCACCTCAACGCTTTCAAAGGTTTGCAGTAACTCTTTTACTTTCTCTATGTATTTGCACATCAGTGGTCCTTTGGCTTGATACTCACTTGAGATCTGAAATGTCATCAACTGAGAGTCACTGAAGACTTTGAGGGGCTGGGCTCCCATCTCCTTTGCTTGAATTAGGCCAGCTATCATGGCCTCATACTTTACCTGGTTATTTGTGGTATTGAATTCGAAGGATAAGGAATGCTCGACAGCCACACCGTCTGGATTCTCAACTATAATTCCTGCTCCTGAGCCTTTGGCGTTTCATGAACCATCAACATATAGCTTCCATATAGCTGGGAGTGGTGTTTCAGCGATTTGGCCATCAGGCTGGGAGGCGTCCGTCATTTCTGCAATGAAGTCTGTGAGGGCTTGAGCCTTAATGGTGGTTCTTGGCTCGTAGGTGATTTCCTACTCTGACAGCTCAATCGCCCAAGACATCATTCTTCCAGCAAGGTCAGGCTTGTGCAGAACTTGGCAGATTGGCTGATTGGTCCTGACGATGATCAGATGGCACTGGAAATACGGTCTCAGCCATCGTGCGGCGAAGATAAGTGTGAAGGCCACTTTTTTGACCTGTTGGTACCGAAGTTCAGCCCCTTATAGAACTTTGCTGATAAAGTAGACTGATTTCTGCCCTTCCTCTCTTGATTCCTTGACTAAGGCTGCGCTGATAGCCTTGGCGCCTACGGCGAGGTATAAATACAACGTCTCACCGTTGTCTGGCTTGGCGAGGACTGGTGGGCAAGAGAGAGCTCTTTTAAACTCCTGAAAGGATTTCTCGCATTCTTCGAACCACCGAAAGGTAGTTCCTTTTTTGAGTAGGCCGAACAGGGGGAGAGACTTATGTGCCAAATTTGCTAAAAAACGGGTGAGGGCCATAAGCCTTCCAGTTAACTGATGAACTTCTTTGACCGTTTGGGGGCTTCGCATTTCGATAACCGCCTTGCACTTGTCAGGGTTGACTTCAATGCCTCTCTCGGTAAACATGAAGCCTAGAAACTTGCCGGCGGGTACGCTGAAGGTGCATTTGCTAGGATTAAGCCACATATTGTACTTTCTCAACCTACCGAACACGCCTTGAAGGTTCAACAGGTGTTGTTCTGGCGTTCTCGACTTGGCGATCATGTCATCGATATAAACCTTGATGCAATTGCCAATCAAATCTTTGAAAACTTTATTCATCATCCGCTGATATGTGGCACCGGCATTCTTCAACCCGAAGGGCATCATGGTGTAACAATAACTGGCGTTCTGGGTGATGAACGCCATTTTATCTTGGTCCTCTTGGAGCAGTGGATTTGATTGTAACCAGAGTACGCATCCATGAATGACAGCATGTTGAAACCAGATGCATTATCGACCAACTGGTCGATGCTGGGAAAGGGGTAAGCATCCTTAGGACATACCTTGTTCAAGTCAGTGTAGTCGACACACATCTTCCACGCTCCGTTTGGCTTTTTTACCAATACCGGGTTGGACAACCAAGTGGTGTACTTGATTTCCCTAATGAAGTCGGCGTCACGGAGTCTTCGAACTTCTTCATCAATCACCTTTTGGTGGTCGGGGCCGAATTTTCTCTTTTTCTGGGCGACGGGCTTTGCTTTGGGGTCTACAGATAACCGGTGGCAACACACTTCAGGGTTGATGCCCGACATGTCTGATGGTTTCCAAGCGAACAGGTCTCTGTTGTCCCGTAGCAATTTGATCAATTTTTTTTTCATTTCAGGATCAATGGTCGCCCCGATGGTAGTTGTTTAATGATCATCATCGCTCAAGACGACGTGTTCTACTGCTCCATCTGGAGTGGGTCTGGCGTGTTCCACCCGGGGGGCGTCTCTTGCATCAAATTCAACTAGGAAACATTGGTCATGCTCATTCCCTTTCTTGCTAGGGCTTCCTTCAACTGGCTGTGTTGTGATTTGCTGGGTGCTGGTTGATCTTTGAAGGTAACCTTGGTCGCCGGTCTCAGGGATATATTGTAGCAGCTCCTGCTACTGTTTGGTCTCCTTTTACCGTTGTGACTTTGTTATCCCTGGCTACAAACTTCATCGCCAAGTGTGGTGGGACACACTCGCCTCAAAGGCGGCGAACATCCTTCTGCCAAGGATTGCATTGTATGTTGATAGGGTGTCAAGCACCAGGAATTGGATGTCGGCCGACCTTGAAGTGGGTGGCGTTCCCATGGATAAATGCAGGTTTATCATTCCAAGCGGCTTGGTAACTGTTGCGTTGAAACCTGAGGGTTCACCTGCGACTGGGGTGAAGTCATTGGCTGTAAACCCCAACGCCCTGAAACATGGTATAAGCAAAATGTCAGCAGAACTGCCGTGATCAACAAACACGCGATTGACGCCAAAATTGGCTATTATTGCTTGGATAACGAGGGGGTCATCATGTCCGAGAAGAACGTCGCCCAAATCGTTGTATTCCCACACGATTTTAGGCTTGGTTGGACCCGAATCAACTTTCGCTTTGCTGATGACTTTGCCAGCTATCGCCAAACATTGTTTCAAGTGTTTCTTCCTGGCGTTAGCTGTTTCACCACCTCCACTCAATCCGCCAGAGATTATGTTTATGACTCCGTGCTTGATGATAGTTGAGTCTTCTTCATCTTCCTCCCGTCTTCGTCTATTGCTTGGGCTAGCTTGTGCTCTGCGGTCTCTTGGAGAGTCATCTCTGCGGGCAAGTTCATGGCGAGGCCGATAACCAGATTGGTTAGTTCTTATTCTTTCTGGTGAGTTGCTACGCTCGCGGTATCGCCTGCCAGAACCGACAGCACGGGCACCGTCACTCGCCCGCCTATGAGCCCCGCCCTTGATAAGCTCATCAATCTCATCTTTGAGGTGTCTGCATTCTTCAGTACTATGTTCATTATTGCGGTGAAATTTGCAGTATACGGTGACTTCTCTGGCTGGCTGTTGGTGCCGTGAGTTACTCTTGTGTTCTTCTTTGTACTCCGTTTGCAGGACACTGTGTGATTGACGCCCAGACGTGTCACGCCCCAATGGGCGACTGACATATTTGGAGGGTTTGTAACCCTTCCTGCTTTCTTCAACGTGGTTCTTACTTTTACTGGCCTTCTTCTCTTGGTTGTGGGCGTAATCGACTCGGCTCCCTTTGTACTCTTCTACCCGCATAAACTATTGATCTTTTTTCTTGACCTCTTCTAGGTCGGTAATTTCATGGCGAGCAAGCTCGTAGGCGAACGCTCCTTGTCGCAAGCCCGACAGGAGTATATGCACTTACACCTTAGGGTCCAGACCTTGGACCTACATAGCCTCTTTATCAAAGGGATCCAAAAAGGATCTGAGGGACTCCCCTGACTGTTGGTGAATCTTTTCGAGGGAGTGGACGGATTTAGGTACAGGGCGACTGGTTGCGAAATGGGTTTGAAACTTGTCTGCCAGATCATCCCAGGATGAAATACTATCGGTTGGCAAAGTGGTGTACCAAGTCAATGCTCTCCCGCCCAGAAGCGTAGGGAAAGTCCTGCACATGAGGAGATCTGTCTCACCATGAAGAGTCATCGCCGCTTCAAACTTTTGGATCCATTCAAAAGGATTTGTGTCACCGACATACGTGGCAATATTGGAAGGGCCTTTGAAACCGAGAGGTATGGGGGTTAGGCGTAGGATATCAGTTAAGGGTTTGTTGCGTCCTAAGTATTAGTAGGCGTTACTCGTAAGTTTGGGTTGTGCGCGTGCTGCTCTGGTGGTGGGCGAGGTGCATGTGGGGCTTCAACCGAGTAAGAGAGGGCTGGGGCTTGATGGGCGATATATTGTGGCAGACCAGGATTCATACATGATCCTTGAGGTTGTGGAATGGCTGCATTGTGGGGTGGTATTGTGTAACCATGGAATGGGAAGCCAGCATGGAAAGGTGGGGGGGTAAGGGGCGGCCATGTTGTGAGTGTAAGGTCCAGGGAGATATGGGGCGACCACAGGGATTCGGTGATCATTATACAGAGCTACCGGCTGACTTCGGGCCGGTTGTGGATGATAAGCTGGTGGGATAGTTAGTGGACCTGCGGCGGGAAGTGGCACTCTGAAACGAACTCCAGGTGGAGGGGGTTGAGTTGGGAGCAAGTTCTCTCCTTGAACTTCGCATATGGCTACGCGGCGATTCAACTGTGCTACTCTAGCATCAGCTGCTGGTAACTGTGGGTCAACAGATTGCAACACCGGCGGTAACGCCTCACCAGTTGCTTGTTTAGCAGGGGCTAAATGCATAGACGGTGGGGAGTTGGAATGAACCGTTTGAACATGACCTTCAGGGGTAACGACTCTGGTCTGCTCTGCTCTTTTTGTCATAACAGCCATGTTTAGCTGCTAGAAAATGAAATGCCTCTCGTAGATCTTTGGTAGGAGAATGGGAATAGAAGCTTATAGTTTCTCACAGACGGCGCCAATGTACCGTTGGGATCTATAAGCCCACTATGTTCCCTTTGGGGATGGAGTCACTGTATGGATGATACCCTTAGCACAGGTAAAGACCAAACTAAGTGGCACTGTTCCAAGTATGAAGCAAGCAATCAACAATGGGGTTAGGTGTGTGAATGTGTGACTCAATGTAAATGAGCATAATAATGATACATAAGATACCTGCTCCTCTATGTCTAGAGGAGTATTTATAGACGAAGGTCATGTTGAACTTCGAGGGGTTCAAGAGGGGAAGGTCAAATCTTCTTGGGTTCCGTCGAGGATGGAAGGTACTGCTGAGGGCGGCAGGGACTGCTATGATCGTAGTGATGCACCCCCTGCGCCTGGCGATTGTCAGCATGGGGAAAATGACAGTTGCCTCTTATGGCATCTGGGGCGGTCTCTTTTGGGGGTTATGGTCCCTAGACGAGACATTTTCGTGTCTCACATGGGGAGCATCATTATATGGGGTTCTGTGTGGTGACAAGATGATAGGGCTGACGTGGCTAGGGTTTTAGGCCCTGACCTTGGGCCGCAAGGTTATTGGGCCATCCGGAACACACTGAAAAAGAAAGAAGGAACGAGTTCAGTGATACAATTTTGAATCTTGGTTTAGTGCCTTAAGACAATGAAATTGTTCATGTTAGTTTTCATTATCAATGTAGATTCCTTCTTCTCTTGGACTAATTGGTTTACAGAACCATGTGTTCCCTTATGATTTTGTTCCCAAAGTATTGGTGTGAGTCATATAACGAGAAACTCTAGTTGTTCCTAGTTTTAGAGGTAACAAGTTCATTCCTCGACTATTGCGTTGAAGCCTGGAATAACTCATTCCAGAAGTCTTTTCCTCAAATGAACTTGATTTCCATCAAATTAGAACAAAGAAAACCAAACAATAGAACTTCATTACGAAGGGTAAACAAATATTCAAATTACACAAGTGGGTAATACAATTCCCCCATTCCTAAAAGAAATTAGCTCACGCTTAAAGACATGGCCGAAAGTAAAATACAAAAGAAACAAATTATGAATTTTATTACAAATTTAAAATAAACAACAACAAAAAAGAAATCCAATGGAGATGAGTGTGGTGGTTTTAAGTAAGAACTCGAGAACCAACAGAAATGGGAGTGCATGTTGCATGTGTATGAGCTGAATATGAAAATGAAGGAGACTGACGAAAGCCTTATACCAAAAAAGGAAGGGAAGGAAACAATTCGAGTGTTCTCTAATTGGAAAAATTTCCCCCTTTCTCTTTTCTTTAACTACCTTTCACATTGGAGAGAAGATTCTCAACTTTCTTTTGATTCTTCATCATTATCTTGTTTTGCTTGGGTGAAGTAGTGACCTGTTGAGCTTCTTATTTTTGCAATTTTTTGGAGAACAAAAAAGAGAAAGTTAGTGTGTCAATATGAAGTGCATGACCTTTTCTTTACTTTTTAATCATTAGTACCAGGCCTTGCAACATTTTTATATTTTCTTCATATTATAACCTTTTATTCAAAAGGGACTAAAATATAGAGGAATGAGTAACATTTTTTTATAGGAACACCAAATATGGGACTACAAAATAGAGACTCATCACTTACAAGCTTAAGCTTTTAGGTGGATTGATTGCTTTATATGGTATCATAGCTAAGGTGACCACAGAGTCAAGTGTTTGATTCTTACCGCCCCACTTTTTAGTATAAGGTAGAATAAAAAAATTGGCTTGTGTAATATCCATATTTTAACCTAAAGGGCTCTTGCATAAGGGGGTATGTTAGACATATATAATAGAAAAATCATTGAAGGACCATTACTTATTAATTCATACCATAATTGATAGTATAGTACAATATGTGATATGTATCGTGTAATACGATACAATTCAAAGTCTCTGTCAATTGTATCAATTTCTTAAATTGGAATAGGTCTTGTATCGGACCATGTACGTATCGTATGATGCAGTATCAAATCATATATCCTATGATATGAAAGTCAAACCAAAATTTGCAATTTTCATTAAAAAAATCTAAAAATTATCTATTAGTTGAGAAAAGTAAATAAAGATATAATTTGTGATTCAAATTGAAAAAAAACCCTGAAAAATCATTATTAATTAGGGAAAGAAAACTAAAAAATCATTATTAATAGGACGAGTCAGATGACTACACTAATGAAGAGAATGATGGATTAGTCATGTCATTGTAAGATGCTCATAGTCATAGTGATAATCTTAGTGTTGATGAATGATAAGGAGGAAAGTTACTTATATATTTTGTTGAGGTTTATGTCATTTTTTTTTTTTTTTTTTGTAAATAGTTTATGTCATTTTAAGCTTATGTTTCATGTTGTAATTTAAAGTCATGAAGTTGTAAGTTGTAATATTTAAATGAGATGTTGCAATTATACATGGATATTTGATGTAATATGATGGAAGGGCCTTAGGCCTATTTTAGGATTATGATTGTGTGTATGCTTAGAAAATGCATGTAAATGGACTTCGATGATTGAAACGTATTAAGTATTAATCAAGTGAGCAGTATGATATGAATTGTATAATAACTATAAACTGAGTTGGGTTATAAGTGCCCCAAGGCATTGTTGGTCCTTGTGTGTGCCACCTATTGATTATTAGGTACATTAGAGGACTTAGAACACATTTGCAATTTGGGGATTTTGGAAAAACAAAGGAAACTCTGGCGAATTTTCTTTAGAATTGGCAGAATTTAGGTAAACTTCGGGAGAACATATCTCCCTCCACAGGGGTCCGATAGGGACGTGCCATACGCAATTTTGAAGCTTGAGATGTCCTATATCTTGTGGAAAATTTGATAGAATTCTGGGTTGAACGTCGGCCTGGAGAAGGCAAAGAGTTCAGATTACTCATTTGCTCACTGCACTTGTAGCAGTTCTGGACCGGTTTTGGGAAATTAATTCCCGCATTGTTTCTTAGTAAAATTAAGTGCATGATATATAAAATTGAAGCTTGAGGTGTCTAGTTTTTTGTATAAAAATTTGAGAGCAATTTGTAGAGTGTATTTTCTGCAGTAATTCGTGGAGTGAGGGATGTTTAGAGTTGTTTTGGGGTTGGTTGGCAGTTTTACTTGTCTAACTTCAAACGGCGATATCTGGAGCAAACGAGCTCTAAATAACTCGTGTGATATCTTCCTAGAAAGGTAATTGAGTGTAGAATAACATATCAAAATATAGGAAGCTTGTAGAATGCGGTTTATCCGCAGAAAATTAAAGACCGAACCACGTTCTGAAGAGTAGAAAACGTAAAAGTGAAAATTATGCTAAGTGGGTTTATGGGAACCCCTTAGTGACTTATGGGAAGTAAAATAAGTAATATACGTTGTTTAAATAATTATTCCGCAAAGAGTTTACAGTTACGGTCACAGCTTTTAATTATTACGCTTTTTGTTGTTTTAAAAGCTCGCGTAATAAACGGAAAAAGTTTACTCGCATTTGTATAAATGAATTATTGTGATTGTAACTGCGCTTAATATCATAATTAATGTTAACAATACCGGTGTACAACAGGCTGTTACATTTTGTGACACCTTCCCCTGTATGCATCCAAGAGAGATGTCTGCTAAGCGGATTAGAGTCGTAACGTCATTGAATTAAATACTGAAACTGCGTTTTTAAGTCACAAAATAAATTCACGTATTGGTATCCGGTTGTACATGAAAAACAGTGGGAAATTTGAAAACGTATTGCTTGCTGAAAAT